CCTCACATGTGCTAAGCAAGCACTCTACCGCTGAACCACAACCCCATCCCCTAAGTTTTATTTTTCTACATATGGATATCCAGTTGTCCCAGCACTCTTTATTAAAAAGGCTGTCTTATCAACAATGTTTATTTGGCACCTTTTTCTCTTATTGGATAACAGTATTTATATGAATTTGTCTCTGTGTCTTCTATTTTATTCCATTGGTCTTTATTTCTGTTTTGGTGCCAGTACCATGCTGTTTTTGTTACTATAGCTCTGTAGTATAATTTGAGGTCTGGTATTATGATGCCTCCAGCTTCACTCTTCTCACTGAGGATTGCTTTGGCTATTCTGGGTCTCTTGATTTTCCAAATGAATTTCAGCATTGCTTTTTCTAGTTTTATGAAAAATGTCATTGGTATTTTGATGGGAATTGCATTGAAACTGTATATCATTTTTGGTAGTATGACCATTTTAATAATATCAATTCTGACTATCCAAGAACATGTTCCATCTTCTAAGGTCTTCTTAAATTGCCTTCTGTAGGGTTCAATAGCTTTGTAGCAGTCCTTCACCTCTTTGTTAGATTGATTCCCAAGGGTTTTTTGTTTGTTTGTTTGTTTTTGTTTTTGTTTTTTAGATTATTGTGAATGGGAATTTTTCTTATTTTCTTTTTCAACAGATTCATTATTTGAGTATAGGAAAGTGATTGATTTATGAGTGCTGATCTTGTATCCTGCTACTTTACCAAGTTTGTTTATTAGCTCTAGAAGCCTTCTGGTGGAATTTTTTGGTTCTTCTAAATATAGGATCATGTCATCAGCAAACAGAGATAATTTGATTTCTTCATTTCCTATTTGTATCCTGTTAGTTTGCTTTTCTTGTTTTATTACTCTCACTAGAGTTGAAGACTATGTTGAATAGGAGTGATGAGAGTGGACATCCTTGTCTTGTTCCTCTTTTTAGAGGAAATGCTTTCGGTTTTTCTCTGTTCAGTATGATGTTGTCATATATAGCTTTTACAATGTTGAGGTATGTTCCTACTATCTGTACTTTCCCTAGTGTTTTAAACACAAATGGATGCTGTACTTCATCAAATGACCTATTAATATAATCATGTGATTCTCATCTTTAACTCTATTTATATGGTGAATTACATTTATTGATTTGTGCATGTTGAACAAAACTTGCATTCCTGGGATGAAACCCACTTGACCATGGTTCACTGTCTTTTTAATATGTTTTTGTATATAATTTGCCAGTATTTTATTAAGAATATTTGCACCTATGTTCATCAAGGGTAGTGGTTTGAAGTTTTCTTTCCTTGATGTGTTTTTGGTTTTGGTATACTGGATTCATAGAATGTACTTGCAAGTGTTCCCACTATTTCTATTTCTTGAAATAACTTGAGGAGGATAAGTATTAGTTATTCTTTAAAGTTCTGGTGGAACTCAGCTGTGAATCCTTATGGTCCTAGGCTTTTCTTTGTTGGAAGCCTTTTGATACCTGCTTTGATTTCATTACTTGATATTGATCTGTTTAAGTTGTCTAAATCCTCATGGTTAATATGGGTAGGTCATATGTCTCTAGAAGTTTGTCAGAATCTTCAATATTTTCTAGCTAATTAGAGGATAGATTTTCAAAATAGTTTCTAATGATCCTCTGGATTTCAGTAGTGTCTATGGTGATAGTTTCTTTTATCTCTAATTTTGTTAATTTGGGATGGTGTGGTGGTACATACCTGTAATCCCAGCAACTGAGGAGGCTGAGTTAAGAGGATCACAAGTTCAAAGCCAGACTCAGCAACAAAGTGAGGTCCTAAGCAACTTAGTGAGACCCTGACTCAAAATAAAAAATAAAAAGGTCTGGGGATATGGCTTAGTGGTAAAGGGCCTCTGGGTTCAATTCCCAGTACCCCCCCAAAAAAAATTGTTTTAAATTAATTTGTTTGGTTAGTTTGGCTAAGGGTTTATCTATTTTGTTTATCCTTTCAAAAATCAAACTCCTTGTTTCACTATGCCTTTGTATTGTTTATTTTATTCTCAATTTCATTTATTTAGGCTCTTATTTTAATAATTTCCTGTCCTCTGCAGATATTTTGGTGTGTGGGGGGGTACCAGGGATTGAACTCAGGAGCACTCAACCACTGAGCCACATCCCCAGGTCTTTTTTGTATTTTATTTAGAGACAGGGTCTCACTGAGTTGCTTAGGGCCTCAGTAAATTGCTGAGGCTGGCTTTGAACTTTCGATCCTCTTGTCTCAGTCTCTCAAGCCACTGGGATTATAGGTGTGTGCCACAGCACCTGGCTCTTCTGCAGATTTTGGTTCTTCTTTTTCTTGGGCCTTGAAGTGTAATGTTAGATTATTTATTTTGTTATCTTTGGTATTTTTTTTAAAGGTACAAACTCTGGGCTGTAAACTTTAGTCTTAGAACTGCCTTCATACTATCTCAGAGATTTTGATATGTCATATCACTATTCTCATTTATTTCTAAGCATTTTTAATTTCTCCCCTGATTTCTTCTGCTATCCATTTATCATTCAAAGGTGTATTATTTAATCTCCAAGTGTTAAAGTGGTTTTGGGTTTTTATCTTGCCATTGATTTCCAATATTTCACTATTCACTGTGATATTAGTTATGTTTTTTCATAATTTCCATAATTGGGTTGAGGAAGTCCCTTTTTGGAGGGGGAGGGGTGGAGGGTGGATCAAACCCAGGGCTTTATACATGCTAAGCATATACTCTACCATTAAGCTGTACCCCTGGCCTCAGGAATTTCCTTTTATTCCTGCTTTGTTGACTGCTTTTATAGAAAAAAAAATTGTTCCATTTAGTTAAATGGTTTTCTGTGTGTATTGAGGTGAACAGGTATTTTTTTCCTTTATTCTATTATTATGGTATATTACATCGATTGCTTCTCAGATGCTAAACCAAGTTTGCATTCTTAGAATAAATACCATTTGGTCTGTGTCTATAATCCTTTTTATATATTGCTGGATCTGGCTTGCTAGTATTTTTTTTGAGGATTTTTGTTTCTTTATTGGTAAGAGATATTAGTCTGTAGTTTTGTTTTCTAATGAGGACTCTGTCTGGTTTTGGTGTCTCTTCTATTTTTTTTAAGAGTTTTATGAAGAAGTAGAGCTAATTTCTCTTTAAAAGCACAAGAGGACTTAAGATGTGGCTATAACCCAAGTAAGCACAAAATAATGAAGAAGAATGTCAGCTTTTAGGAGCTGAGAAGAATGGGGCAGTGATATTTCTGAGTATATCAAAACATGGGAGAACTGACAGGCTAGATTTCACTGGAGGAGAAAAGGAAGTTTGAACAAAAATACCGTCAAAGGTACTCCCTCCTGCTGCATCTTGTGGAAAGGCTCCAGATTGCAGGATGACCTCATTCCTCAAAAGAAATCCTCCAACTGGGCAAATATTTCCTTGCTCCTAGGCCAGTATGAGCTTGCTTAGAAGCGGTAGCTCTTTTGGCCTCCCCTGTGCTTTCTTGATCCATGGGTGTGTAACACAGACTCTGAACATCAATAATAGTGCTTCCCAGCACTGGTCTTGACATGCCCCAAGGTGTCTTCAGTTATTTCAGGGGTGTCTTGCAATTCTCAGAACTAATTGACTTTAAATTTATTTTCAAAAGGAGTTATATGCCATTTCAGATGTTCCTTTGTGCTAGATGTGACAGGGGAGGCAGAATGGGAAGATATGTGTCATGGAAGGAAAAGAAAGCAAGAAGTTACGGGTTTCAATTTACAAAAGACTGATTATCTGGAATCTGGGGTGTTTAGAAGTGTCGCTGTAATCTGGTAGAGCACTTACAGAGCCTACACAAGGCCCTGGGTTTGATCCCCCAACTGGGTGGAGTGGGGAGTCTCACTCTATTCTAATCACTGATTTATTCCAGTGTTTGAAAAAGGTCCTGGCACATCAGAATAGGTACTCAATAAATGTTGGTTAAATGAAAAACAATTGGATCAATGAATCTAAGCTTCTATGAGGCTTGAAGCCCTCATTTAGATTTGTTGTAGTTAAATTTGTTTGTGGTGTCTTACCCCTTCTCGTGTGTTTTGTTGTTGGTCTCAGTCTCTTTATAGGTCAGAATAAGCCACTGCACATTTGTCTTATACACCCCTTGAGTGTTTTCTGTCTAACTTCCAGGAGTTCTCCAAGAAAGCAGCTGATTATGGAGCCGCATGCTCCCTCAATAGATTCTGTAAGCTGGACTCACCCACATTTGAGGTCATATGGCCCCCAGAAGGCACCACCGACCTCCTGACTGCCTACAGAGTTCAAAGAGCCATTTTTGAGTGCCCTGGCCATCCAGATCAAATCCCACGCATACAGATTTGGATCAAGATCCTCCTAGAGGGACCAAAGTGGTTGAGATCTTGTCTTTCAGGTAAAGCTAAGAAGGATAAAACTATTCTGCCAACAAAACCTTTTCTCCAGAAGAAACAGGTCTTGCTGGAGAGTTTCGAGGATCAGGACCTTGCCCTTCCATATCCATCCGCCCCACTGGTGTTACCGCCTCCTCCTCTACCGGAAGCTGCCTCTCTCTCTCCTGAGGCTGCCTCTTCTCATCCTCAGGGTGCCTCTTCCCCTCCTATGAGGCCCCCTCACACTTGAAGCGGTTCTAACTATCATCCTTTTGCCCCTGCTCCAACTGTGCCTGACTCCTCCACTTTGCTGGTTCCTACACTTCCCCTCAGAATTCAGGCTCCCTCTGCCCTGGGAACAGAAGGTGCTGGACAGAACCCCTTCAGGGTAAATGTTCCTTTCTCCATTAGTGACCTCTATAAGTGGAAAATTCAAGATCCATCATTCTCTGAAATACCCCAAGGTCTTACTTCCCTTTTGGAGTCTATTTTCTATACCCATCAGCTAACCTGGGATGATTACCAGCAACTCCTTCAGACTCTTTTCACTTCAGAAGAGCACGATTGAATCTGGAGAGAAGCCTGGAAAACTGTTCTTGGCCTTGATGGCCAACCCAGTGATGATCCAACTCACATGGAACTCATTTTCTCTTCGGTTCATCCTGATTGGACAGGAAAGGAGGCGACTGACCAATACTGCCAGGCTCCACTAGGAGAGATCAAAGCAGCCGCTGGAAAACCCACCGATTTGGCAAAGGTAAGCGAGTCAATTCAAGGACCAGATGAGCCCCCGGCTGCTTTCCTGGAGCGCCTTCTTAAGACTTATCGTGTGTATGCACTGATGGACCCAGAGGCCCCAGAGAATAAAAGCGCTCTTAATATTGCTTTTGTGACTCAATCGCCCCAGATATTAGGAGAAAGTTACAGAGACAGGAAAGATTTAAGGGAAAGACGCTGTCAAAATTTGTGGAAATAGCCCAAAGGGTCTACAATAGTTGAGACCCCCCTCAAGAAAAAAACAAACTAAAAGGTTGACAAGAGTCATGGTGACAGCTATGTCAGAGTCTCGAGACACCTGAAGGCCTCAAGTTCCTGGACAACAACCCCCAAGGGCTCTACTCCCTAAACAACAATAGCCCCCAGGAACAGAAACTAAAGGGCCAATATCTAATGAGAACTAACTTAAAAAAGGGACAATAACTCACTTGTTACTTGTGATGCCAAAATGCCCCTATCCCTTATTGTGCAGAAACTTGCTGCAAAAATTGCAAGCCACCATTTCTTTCCAAAATGGCACAGCCAACCTGTCATTTAAAGGCCCAAAGCTATTATATATACTTGTCCCATTGGGGAGAAATACCTGCTCTTAGCATAAGACACCCAGACCCCACCTTCTGACCTCCTCACAAGATTCCAAAAAGAAACCCCAGGAGTCTGGGCAGAAACTAATCCTCCTGGCTTCACTGCACATTGGCCACCTATTATAGTGCAGCTCCCCAGCACTGCCACCCCTGTGCAAGTCCGACAGTATCTTAACAGACTGGAAGCTAAAAAACGGCATATTCACATCCACAGGTTACGAGCAGCTGGCATCCTGATTCCTTGCCAATCAGCCTGGAACACGCCATTGCTGCCTGTCCAGAAACCTGGAACAAAAGACTACTGACTGGTACCGGACCTAAGAGAAGTCAACAAAAGAGTGGAAACCATTCATCCCATGGTACCAAATCCCTACACACTTCTCAGTTCATTGTCTTCGTCTCACCAAGTGCACACTGTCCTGAACATCAAAGATGCCTTCTTCAGTTTGCCATTGGCTAAGGTAAGCCAACCAATTTTTATTTCTATATGGTCAGATCCAGAAGGGAGATTTTCAAGACAATTGACTTGGACACAGTTGTCACAGGGATTTAAAAGCTCTCCAACTCTATTTGATGGATGTAACTGCTGCCATCAGTGTAGAGTGTCTTGTCTCATTCTGGCCAGGGTGTGTCCATCACACCGGGCCTCGTGGCTTACAGGCTGCAACACCCCAAGACTACACTTTTACAATAAGTAGATGATCTAATAACAACCAAAACTATGACTAAATGTAAACAGGCCACCAGAGACTTGTTAAAAACCTTAGAAACCTTGAGGTACCAGATGTCAACTAAGAAGGCCCAATTATGCACCTCAACAGCCACCTACTTGGGCTACAATCTAAAAAAGAAAAAAAGGACTGTGTTGTGGGACAGAATTAAGTCAATCATGCAGATTCCTCACCTTATGACTAAGCATCAGGTGTGAGAGTTCCTCGGGGCCATTGGGTATTGCAGCCTTTGGATCCTTGATTTTGCTGAACTAGCCCAGCCCCTGTATGTTAGTAAGCAGGGAAAGAGGACTCTTTGATTTGGACTGAGAAAGAATAAGAGGCATTTGACAAACTGAAACAAGGCCTAGTCACTGCACCTGCATTGGCCCTCCCAGATATTCTAAAGCCATTCCAACTGTTTGTACATGAAGTCAGGGGAATAGCAAAAGGGGTGCTAACTCAGACTTTAGGGCCATGGAAACGCCTGGTGGCATATCTATCTAAAAGACTGGACTATGTTGTGGCTGGATGGCCAAACTGCCTCCAAGCCATCGCTGCCACAGCAATCCTGGTTAAGGAAGCAGATAAGCTTACTTTGGAGCAAGATTTACAGGTGGTAGCCCCACATGCTATGGAAACCTTACTTTGGAGCCCTCCAGGGTGCTTGCTCTCCAATGCTACTACCACCCAATACCAGGCCCTTCTTCTAGACCAGCCCAGAATAAAATTCTTAAAAACCTCAGCTTTAAACCCAGCCACTCTTCTTCCTGATGATGATCCCTCCAAACTGCTGCACAATTGCCAGGAAATCTTGGGGTCACTCCAGAATGACCAGCTGGAGCTGATGGACACACCCTGGCCAGACCCAGGCAAGACACTCTACACTGATGGCAGCAGTTATGTCCAAAATGGAATCAGGTATGTGGGCATGGCTATAGTTACTTTAAATAAAATTATCTGGGCTCAAGCTCTGGGACATGGAACTTCTGCACAAAAAGCAGAACTAATTGCACTGACCCAGGCTCTCAGGTATGGCAAAGGAAAGACTGTTAATATCTATACTGACAGTAGGCATGCCTTTGCTACTCTTCTTGTACGTGGAGCTCTCTATAAGGAGAGAGGACTATTAACTTTGGGAGGAAAAGATATCAAACATGCAGAAGAAATTCTGGCTTTGTTAAAAGCCCTCTGGTTGTCAGAGAAAGTGGCTGTTATACACTGCACAGGCCACCAGAACACAGAGACACCAGAAGCAAGAGGAAACACCTTTGCTGACAAAACAGCCAAAGAGATGGCTTTAAAACCTGTAGAGACTTTACAGATTTTGCCTGTGTTGCCTAACGGTGTTCTATCCACTTCCCCCATGTATGTGGAACAAGAGAAAATTCTAGGAAAAATCTTAAAAACAACTGAGGATCAAAACGGATGGAAGATTCTACTGGACAAAAGAATCCTGAAGCCAAAGACATTGGGGAAATTGTTAATTAAGCAAGTACATCAAGGAACCCATATGGGTAGTACAAAAATGGCTGAATTGTTACAAAAAGACTTTTACATTCCAAAGTTAACTCAATTAACAAGACAAGTTTCTTCCAGGTGCCAGACATGTGCTCAAGTAAATCCTAACCCAAAGGTAAGCCAATTTACAGGAACCAGACTACAAAGGGAAACACCAAAAAAAGATGAGAAGTAAACTTTACCGAAGTAAAATCTGGACAATAAGTATTTGCTGGTACTCATGGACACCTATTCTTGACAAATTGAGACATTTCCTACCAAAAACAAAGACAGCAACTATTATAGCTAGGAAACTTATTCAAGAGATCATTCCCAGATTTGGCCTCCCAATAGCCATGGGGTCCCATAACAGCCCAGCTTTTATGATCAAAATTTATCTAAAGTTTTTAAAATTAATTGAGACTTATATTATATATAGGTCTTCAAATTTAAAACAAATCAAAAAGATAATTAAAACTCTAAAAAAGACCCTTACAGGTGGAGCCTAACAAGGACTGGGTCAACCTCCTTCCTTTTATTCACCCCTTATCTAAAAGGTTTATAATATTTAAAAGACCACCCCTGCTGGTTCCCAGACTGAAAGATAAAAAACTAACTAAAATAAGTAACCACTCACTTCTTAAGTCCTTACAGGCTCTCCAGCAAGCCTCCCAACAGACTCAGGCTTTAACAAAGATAGTCCAACAGCCTGTTGCAGGAGAGACCTTCACTCACCCATTCCAGCCAAGCCATTATCCATCTACCTTAGAGCTTCACTGGCACAGACCCTTTCCAGTCATCCTGACCACCCCAACTACTGTAAAAGTCACCAGAAAACAACATTGGATTCATCACTCCCAAATCAAGAAGACAGCTGCAACAGAAGATACACTCAGTACTCTTGATTTTTACTTTCTGTTTTGTTTCACTTTCAGACATACACCCTGCACACAGCTCTATTCAGAAACTCTTGAGGCCAGAAAAAGACAGGACACTTGCTTCTAAAAGATAGTCACTGACTGAATGACTATCAAGCTGCTGGTCTTTAAAAAATAAAATTATGACATGGTAAACTTAGATAAAACTAAACTTAAATAAATTAGTGATTTGATTTAGTCTCCTAAAACCAGTGGGGAATGTTGTGGTGTAAACTAATCAATAAGATCAGTAAGAGGGGCTGGGGATGTGGCTCAAGCAGTAGCGCGCTTGCCTGGCATGTGCACGGCCCTGGGTTCGATCCTCAGCACCCCATACAAAGATGTTGTGTCCGCCCAAAACCAAAAAATAAATACTAAAAAATATTCTCTCTCTCTCTCTTTAAAAAAATCAGTAAGAGTATAAATCATAGGTTATAGATTAACAAAAATATAGATTATCGATATAAGATTTTGATAAGTGAGATAAAACAATTATAAATCAAGAACTGTCATACACAGGCCCAAGACTCTATTTTGCTGCCTTCTATAAAAATAACAGTTGCATGACCCATTTCTAAGAACCAGAAATGAAAGCTGTCTTCTTGTAAGAAATTGTTTTTCTGTACTTCGTACCCCACAGGATGTACCCAGCTCAGGATATGGTGGTGGTCGTGGTGAGCTACATCCTGGGTTTGAGTACATTTATGGGTCTACATGACTTTGAAATAGATTATCGCCCCTGCTCAGCTGAAACTCAGGATAAGGTTGTCTAAAACTTGCTTGGACCCGAGATACAGTTAGCTAAGTTGTAAGCTAACTTCTTTTCTTAGCTTCTGTAACTTGCTTGCTTGCATGACGCTGAGAAAAGCCCCTGAGTTGTGGTCTTTGTCCTTAAATTCCCAAGACACAGGTCAGGAAATTGCTGTTTTCCCACAGAGCAGCAGTCTTTATGGGTGGGTGACAGTCCCCGACCAGGTAATTAAAGCTCTCTTTTGTTTGAATTTGGACTTAGCGTGTTTTCTGAGGTGGCTCCCCAGGACAATGCCTCATGAACATAAGAGATTAGAATTCATGATTAATGACTAAGAGTTGACACTCCATATCATTGGATTCAATCAACTATGGATTGAAAATATTTTTTAAAAATTGTGTTTATAGGGCTGGAGTTGTAGCTCAGTGGTAGAGAACTTGCCTAAGCATGTGTGAGGCACTGGGTTCAATTCTCAGTACCACATATAAATAAGTAAATAAAATAAAGGTTTATCAACAACTAAAAAATATTAGGAAAAAATTGCATTTATATTGAACATGTACAGACTTTTTTTCCTTCTCATTATTCCCTAAGCAATACAGTATAACTATTTACCAACTTCATTTTTAAGTGGCATATTTAATAATTGACATTTTAATAATCATTGTAGATATTTATGGCCTACATTGTGACATTTCAATACATGTATACTATGTATACAATGTGTCACAATCCTATCAGTGTAATTGGCATGTCCATTACCTCAGACATGTATGTCTTCTTTGTGTTAGAATAGTTAAGACTCCTCTCTACTAGTTGCCCTCACCCCTGGCACTGGGGGTTGAACTCAGGGGTGCTCTACCTCTGAACAACAGCTCCAGTCATTTTTTTTTATTTTTTATTTTAAGTCTTGCCAAATTGCTCAGGCTGGCCTTTAACTTGTGATCCTCTGGCCTCTGCCTCCAGGGTCACTGGGATTACAGGCTTGGACCACCATACTGGGCTCTACTAGCTTTTTTGAAATATATAGTTAATTATTGTCAACCATAATTACTCTACTGTACTATTAAATATTAGAAGAGTATAATAATTATTTTTCTATCATCTACTTTTTGTTAAGTATTATAGGTCATCTATAGGTGATTTAAAGGATACAGGAGAATGCAGGTAGGTCACATGAAAACACTATGCATTTTAAATAAGGAAATTCAGCATCATAGGATTTGATATTCCTGGGGGGTCTGAAACCAATTCCCCATAAATATGGGGGGAAGAATGTATGTTTTAAAATGATCAAAGAGATAAAGTAAGGAACAGGGGTATAATTCAGTAGTAGAGTGTGTGCTTAGCACACACAAGGCCTTAGGTTTGATACCCAATACCAAAGAAAGAGAGAGAATAAGCAAAGGAAATTGCAAAATTCAGGTCCTATTTAAGAGAAAAAACATATTGATTTTAAAAGAACAAATGAGACTTTTAGAAATAAAAATATACTTATTAAAATTAAATTTCACCAGGCATGGTGGTGCACACCTGTAATCCCAGTGGCTCAGGAGTCTGAGACAGGAGGATTGCAAGTTCAAAGCCAGCCTCAACAATTTAGTGAGACCCTATCTCAAAATCAAAAATAAAAAAGGGCTGGGATGTGTCTTAGTGGCTAAGTGCCCCTGGGTTCAATCCCCAGAACCAAAATAAATAAATAGATAAATAAATAAAGGTTAATGTATCACCTATAAAAACTTTTAAAAAGAATTTGATATTATTTGGTAAAATTGAGAATGTTTATACCTTATCTCAAAAAAAGTTGTAAGTATAAAGCTAGACACTAGGACAGAAATATAAGCCTTCATAAATACTCAGATAAATTTAGAAATTATAATAGCAAAGAAAACATATTTTAAAAAAGAAACAGGGCTGGGATTGTGATTTGGCTGTAGAGCGCTTGCCTAGCATGGGCGGGACCTGGGTTGGATCCTCAGCACCAATAAAAATAAAGGCATTGTGTTGTGTCCATCTACACCTAAAAAAATAAATATTTTTTAAAAAAGAAACAGTAAATAAATACATGTAAAACATGGTGACTACAACTTAAAATAATATTGAAGTTGAGACAAAATATTAGTCTTGGTAATAAATGAATTGACTTAGCTCATCTACTGAAAGAAAAATATCTTCAGTGTGGCTTGCAAAGCAAGATCCAAGTATACATATAGCCAAAGTAATTCAAACAGGCTAAAAATAAAGGTATGTACAAAGATGTACCAGGTAAATGAAAATAATAAATGGGAGGACTGGGAATATAGCTCAGCTCTAAAGTGCTTGCCTAGCATGTTCAAAGCCCTGAGTTCCATCCCCAGTACCACAAAATAAATAAATAAAATAAAACATGGCAAATAGATATTTTCAAAAAGTATGTAAGTGGAATTGCAATTCTGATTTTGAACAAAGTAGAATTTAGACAAACAAATAACTAAGTGTGCCTAAAAACACAATAATGTTAAAAGCCAATCTCACACTGAAAGTGTAGGCATGAAATAGCCATCTTTATTTTATTTTGTGGTTCTAGGGATCAAATCCAGGACCTGGCACATGCTAGGCAAGTGCTCTACCACTGGACTACATCCCTAGCCTCTTAACCATCTTTAAAAAGAAAAGACTGTGGATGAAAGGAGATAAAGGTAGAAATACCCCACATAGCTAATAGAAGACTTTCAGTGCAAAGAAGATCAAGTGGCAGAAATATAAGTAAAAATATAGAAAAGATAAGCAACATAATGAATAAAATAGATCTTAATGATCTACACTGAACTTTAGAACCTAATAGAGAATACACTTTTCTTCTCAACTGCACATGGAATAGTTACAAAAATTGATCAGATATTAGATCACAAAGAAAGTTTAATGTCTGCAACTTACTCTACAATCGAAAAAACTGTATATATGGAGAGAATGATAAAACAAATGTGGTAAGGATTGAGGAATTGATGAATCTGGATGAAAAGTACATGAAAGTTATTTGGACTATTCTTAGAACTTTTCTATTAGTTCAAAATATTCCAATTTGGAAAGTAACAGAAAACGAACTTTTAAAAATGCTTGTAAGAACTTTTAGGAGAATAACTTTGTTCTTTGAAAGTAGTAAAAGATTTTGGATTCACATACAAAACATAAACTATAATGGAAAGAATGATACATTTGAATAGGATAAAATGACAAATTTATGTACAATAAGGAACATTTGCAGGGCATGGTAGTGCATGCTTTTAATCCCAGCAGCTCGGGAGCCGGAGGCAGGAGGATTGCAGAGTTCAAAGCCAGCCTCAGCAATTTAAGAGGCTCTAAGTAAATCCTGGAGACCCTGTCTCTAAATAAAATACAAAAAATGGCTGGGATATGGCTCAGTATTTTAGTGTCCCTGGGTTCAAACCTTGGTACAAAAACAAAAACGAACAAACAGCCCCCCCCCACAACACACTAAATCTGGAGTTAAAAGACAAACCACAATGAGAAGACAGTTGTTACACCTAGGATTAGTATCCAACAAATATAAATAAATAAATACTACAAATGATTAAATAGAAAAATTACCAAACAATATGAAGAGATGAGTCACAGAAGAAGGTAACTAAAGCTTGGGGAAAAGGAGATCAACTGCATTAGGAACTAGGTAGAAACAAATATAAATGGCAATGGTATAGCACTTATTTATTCAGGTGTCTGTCCAAAATTATAAAACTGATGATACCCATTGATACCCAAAATTATAATACTTGATGATGGAGGGGGAAAGAGGACTAATTCTAATTGGTCCTTGAATCTAGGGATCCTTTAGCAAAATCTAGTCAAGTTGAAGTCATGCACTCCTGTATGTGAGTAATTCCACCTTTAAGTAGCCTCCAAAGGAGCATGATGTTCATTGCAGCGTTGTTAACTAGTGAACAATTGGAAACAACCTAATTGTCATGAATAGATGACAGCAGATGAATAAGTGATTTATGTTAGAAACTACAACACATTTAAAATGACTGACTTCTTATCTACACATGCCAATATATAGAAATCTCAAAAACAGATCCTAGGGGGAAAAAGGAGGCAGTAGGGGCTAGGAGTATAGTGCAGTAGCATAGCACAGTGCTTTGAGTTCAGTCCCCAGCACCAAAACAAAATAAGGTAGCAGAAACTTATACTGTGAATGTGTAAATTTTATAAACACAGAAAAACAGTTATGGTATTGTTGATGAATCCAAAGGTCTAGAAGAACTTACAAGCATTTAAAGAAACATGGAGTAAATACAGAATTGCAATATAGTGCAATGAAAGTCTGAATTACAATGGACACCTAATACAGATGGAGGAGGGAGCAGGAAGAATGTAAAGGGGCATTTCCTTAAGATAGCAAAAACTTCCATGTCTGTCTTTCACACTGAAAGACAAGAAGGGCTTACTCAGGTGGAATATAGGAGGAAGAGTGTTTCTAGAAGATGGTGTCATTTGCACAATGCAGGAGGGAAGAAACAGAGCCTGCTTTGGAACCAGCCAGAGGTTTCTCAGAGCTGGATCAGAGGAAGGGGCAAAGAAGGGATGGAGCGTGTTGGTAGGCATCCCCTTGACAAAGGGAATTTACCTCTCTGAAGATGGCTGGAAAGCTAGATTCTTGAAGTCGAAGAGCAATGGTTGCATTATGAATTACAAAAAGGATGGTTTCTGGAGGCAAGATCAATGAGATCTTGTTTTTCTTTTTAAAGAAGGGAACTAAGCTAGAAATAATGCAATGGGGGGGGCGGTCAACAGAAATAGAGGAGTGACTGACAGCACTGTGTCCAACCTGTAGGACTCAGGGAGCAACTAGGGTGGAGGAATTGAGGAGGTCGCTGGCCTGGGCATCTTAGGTATATGATGGAGTGACAGAGGTTGCATTTTGTGCCACCTGACCCCGCTCCTGGCCACCGCTGATTGGACCTTACAAGCGTTCAGTTCAAATACAAAAATGCACAGGGGAGGAACTGAAGGCGGCGGTTACCGCTGGAATGGGTTTTCGTGTGGGTGTGTGTAGTTTTACATTATCTGGAATGTTTTAATTACAAAATAAAAGCTGATGTAAATGCAACATAGAAAAGCATTAACTTGTGTGACAGCTCAGTGGGTTCACAGGTGTCATATTATTTTCTGAACTTTTCTGTGCATTTGCACTAAATTTAAAAGTCAAATGGCAAAAAAAAAAGTGGCAATAATGGGAGAAACTGAAATGCATGGAAGGCTTTGAGCTCTATATGGAAAAGGTTAAGCCAGAAAGCGGCGAGGGCGGGGAATGACGAGTTTGTCTTGATCTACGTAGGAGATGAGACCTGGGAGACCTGCCTTCAGCGGTTTGTGGGGGTGGGAGGGGGAGGGGGAGGGGGAGGGGTACACGGGGCTGGTTTCCGCCCCGCCCCGCCCCGAGCCCCCGCCCCTCCCGGAGAACCTGGCCAGCCCCAGCCCCTCCTCCTTCCATGACGCCTCCTCCCGTCTCCAGGCAACGTGGGGATTAAACAAGGCCGCCAAGGCGGCCGCCGCCTGCCGACCCCTGCTTGTCGGACCCTAGAAACTGGGAAGTTGAGAGCTATGGCTCTACCGCTGCTGCCCGGCAACAGCTTCAAACGCGATGTGAGTAGCCAGGGAGTCCCAGGTCAGAGGTTCCGATCAGAGCCCGGGGTTTAGGCTGGGATGGGGCGATGACACCTCCCCAGACCTAAGGGAGGCCTCCTGGCATCGGGTTGGGTGCAACTGAGACAAAACTTTCTGCATCTGGATGCTTTCCTTTTTTTTAGATACCTTATATAGTAGGGTCCTTCCTTATAGGTGGCAGAACCTCCAAAAGTAGCCGGTGATGGTGATCATGAAAAACAACATTGAGTAGTTAACTTGTGCCAGTGCTTTGCATTAATCAATTTACATGGCACCGGATGCTCCTAATGGTCCTTTGGATTAGAGAGTTACTATTTTTATTCCCATTTTACAGTTAAAAAAACTGAGGCACAGAGCTACAATCTCAGTGGTGAAACTGGTTTTCTTTCAGGCAACCTTTCTTCATAGCCCAGAAACCTAATTGTTATCCTCAGTACCCTGCTTGGAAGAATTAATTATAGTTTGTTATTAAATTGAAGAAACCTGGCACAATTAAGGGGAGTAGGTGACAGGTGAAAGAGTTCTACCAATCTGTAAAGTTTAGTACCAAAATTTATAGAGACAGACACCCAACCTTGGAGGGCAAGATGAAGATATAAAACAAAACAACAGAAAAACAAACAAACAAACAAAAACGCTGAGCATTGAAGAATTCTTGGCAATAAATAGCACCTTATTTAAACAACACCGTGAAAATGCTACAGGCTTTTGTTTGCATGGAGTTACTATTTCTTTACTTGGGTTTGCCAGTTGGGTCTACAGGAGAAGATAATAAGTAATAAATCATATCCCACTGATGGGAGGGATATTAGATGAAGCCACTCGAGGTATTTGTGTAAACCTCTGATCAGTTTAGAAAGCAGCGAGAAGATTGAAGTTTTCTGACTATCAATTCTGAACAGTGTCTGTATCTAACTTGCTGGCCCTAAAGTCCCAGTTTTATTTGTAGCTTCGGGCCACTGAATTCTGATCTGGATCCCCACATAGGGGTTGATCAGTCCAATCCTGAACACTGGATTGTGCATTTCGTGGCTAATGGTTAGAGGTTGGCCTCCCAAGCATAGCATTGCTCTTTGATAAGATGAAGCCAGCCATGCCGATAAGAAAAGCTCCCAAGAAGCAGGATACAAAAGAAGATTCCAGAAATAAAGAAGCATGCTGTCTAAACATAACTTTTAATAAAAAAATGAAAATAGAGCCTACAGCTTTTGGCCTAGCAACACTTCTGATTATAGGTGCCCACCACCTGCAGAATTATCACAGCTCTCACATGTTGATTAAGGGTGGGAAGGAAACACAGTAGTTGGATGAGATATTTAAAAATCTGCCACATTGTACTAAGTGTACTTTTGCTTGGTTTTTAAACTTTTATTATTGTGAAGAATAGCACATATACATGAAAATGTAGAATGGATGATCACAGAATGAACATCAACAGAATATTACCAGTACTCAAAAAGTACCCCACCTTGACCAGGGTTGCCAGATTTAGCAAATAAAAATATATGAATACTGCTGGGTGCGGTGGCGCACACCTGTAATCCCAGCAGCTCCAGAGGCTGAGACAAGAGGATCTTGAGTCAAAAGCCAGCCTCAGCAAAAGCGAGGCGCTAAGCAACTCAGTGAGACCCTGTCTCTAAACAAAATACAAAATAGGGCTGGGGATATGGCTCATTGGTCAAGTGCTCCTGAGTTAATCCCTGCTACCTCCACCCCACAAAATACATGATTATTGCATGGGTGCCGCAGTCCGGCTGCAGCAAAATAGCTGGGGGGTGACAAATAACTTGTGTACGTTGATACAGCAGGAATGGGAGCCATTTATTGTAGGGCAACAGAGCTATTTATACATTTTGCACAGTTTATCTTAATTAGCATAAACTAGATACATCAATCAACCCATAAGGAATCTCCACACTTAATGGCTCGCTTTTGTTACTTCTCAAACCACTCCCTCTGACATTTTGCCAGGCACCATCCAGACTTGTTTACGAACTCTAACATTTCTCTGGCAAAATACCAGGTGTTATTTTTTACTTGTTTACAGACCTTAACACATGGGACCTATTTATGTTTATCTGAAATTCAAATTTAATTGAGCATTTTATGTTTTATATGGTAACTCTTCCTATGATCCTGTTTTTTATTTTTTCCCTACTCTCCAAAAGTAACCACTGTCCTGGCTTCTATCATTATAATTAGATTTTGCTTGCTTTTGAAGTTTTTATCCATAGAAATGTCTTGTTAGATTTGTCTACAAATCCGTGGCTGTCTTTAGAGGTAATTTGTACATTTTCATGGCTTTTTTTGTACATTCATCCACTCTCTTTTTCTTTGATGGGGGGAACCAGGGATTGAACCCAGAGCCGCTGGATCACTGAGTCACATTCCCCAGTCCTATTTTGTATTTTATTTAGAGACAGGGTCTCACTGAGTTGCTTAGTGCCTGCCTAAATTGCTGAGGCTGGCTTTGAACTTGCAATCCTCCTGTGCCACTGGGATTACAGGTGTGCATCACCGCACCTTGTTCTTTTCACTCTCTTAATGGTAGGTTTCTTTTTTCTTTTTCTTTCCTTTTTTGGGGTGGGGTAATTTCAGTTTGCATTTTATTTTATTTGCAATGCTGGGGGTCAAATCCAGGGTTTCACATATGCTAGACAAGAACCATACCACTAAGCTACACCCCAGCCCCATAATGATGTTTCTGATGATGTTATTTCCTTTATTAAACTTCTTTTTGTTTTCTATTTGAGAAATAATTACACCAAGATCATGAATATATTTGTCATGTTATTGGCTAGAAACCTTTCATATTTAGATCTACAATCTAACTAGAATACATTTGTGTGTGTGTGTGTGTGTGTGTGTGTGTGTGTGAGAGAGAGAGAGAGAGAGGGGGGGGGGAGGGAGGGAGGGAGGGAGGGGGAGGGAGAGGAAAGAAAGAGGTAGAGGTCAGGTTGTATTTTTTTCCCATATGGATATTCAGTTGATCCAGGACTATTTTTGGAAAAGGTTCCTGTTTCTCCACTCCTCTGCTGAGCCATCTCTGCCACAAATCAAGCATGCGTATATAGGTAAATGTGTTTCTAGACTCATAAGTATATTTAAAACAATATTTTATTTATTAAATTAATTTTATTATTATTTGTGTATTTACTTACTTTGTGCCTGAGACCAATGGGGATGTGTGTGAACCAGAGAATAACAGTACACTTATTAGATACCTTGGGCTGTCATTCAACAAATCATTATTTTTTGTGTTACCTACTATGTTCCCAAAGTAGGTGGCTACACTTTAGAAATCATTGTATTACATGTGCTATGTGTTGCAAAAGATTAATATAATTTTACAGACTTATAAATAGTCATAAGATTGGATGCTTTCTGGTATAGAATGGTCAGAAATCAGTAAAGCCACTATTTGGCTTTTAATCTCCTCACCCCCAAGCTTGCTGAATTAAATTATGAAATGAAAAAACTTGGCTTCCTATAGATAGCATAATTACTTGACGGTTTGGGGTTTAAAATTCCAACATGAGCTAGCTGGTACTGCTTTTTCATAGAAATCAAAAAGGAACTTGTTTTTCTCCTTACTTAGCTGCTAGTCATCAGTCATGAGTAATAGATTGATTTTTCTCTGCAACTGGGGGGTGCACAACCTCTGTTTCTGTCTTTGAAATATAGAAAGTATCGTGCTTTCTAAAATACGAGCATTTGTACCACCTGTGACATTAAAATTATTATTATTTTTGTTGTTTTTGTGGTGCTGGGGATTGAACCCAGGACCTTGTGCATGCAAGGCAAGCACTCTACCAACTGAACTACATCCCCAGCCCTAAAATTATTTTGATATGAATTAATTAAAAACCTTAGGGAAAGATCACAACTACACTGTAGAGTCTTCCTAACTTTTTTTTTTTGCCTTTTTCTAACAGTCTATGTGTTGGATTTGTATTCCACTAAGAGAATCTCAGGCATATTGTCAAAATGATAGGATATTAAAGTTAAAAGGGATCTTTCTAGCCAAACCTGAAAAAATCTTTTCTATAGCACTTTGGGCAGATGGTTATATAGCTGGTCCTGATATGCCTCTAATGAGTAAGGAACTGCTCACTCTTCCCTCTGCTTATTTATTTATTTATTTACTTTTTTGTGGTACTGGGGAAGGAACTCAGGGCCTCCAGTATGGTGGGCAAATACTCCATAGTGAGCCATATCCCCAGCCCTCATTATCTAATTTATAGTGAAGCAAATGCTCCTTTAAGAAGAAAGAACATTATTGAAATTCACAATAGTAAAATAAAATAGAAATTTAATAAATCATGACCTTCATTTTTTTAAAAAGGAGAAACAGGTAGAAAGAAAAAAAGAGTAAATAGAACACAATCAGAGTGTATTGTGCTTGGGAAGAGTAAGTATTGTTTCATGAATTGTTGTTTCTTTCTTTCATGTGCATGTGCACCTCTGCATGTGGGTGTATGTGAACTGGGCTGCACTAAAACATAGCTGTTACTGTGTTGCAGTGTTTGGAAATAAATCCTGTTAGAGCCACCTCTACTAGTTCTTGCCTGTGTTGTTTTTGTTTTTTTCCTTGGTACTGGGGACTAAACTCAGGGGCACTCAACCACTGAGCCACATCCCCAGCCCTATTTTGAATTTTATTTAGAGATAGTTGCTTAGTACCTCGCCATTGCTGAGGCTGGCTTTGAACTCATGATTCTCCTGCCTCAGCCTCCTGAGCAGCTGAGATTAGAGCCACTGGGATTACTGGTGTGCACCACCACACAGGCTTGCCTTGGTGTTTTAAATTCAGGTCTTCAACTTTTTTTAAAAAATGTTTTTCTCCTTGTTATACTGGGGATTGAACCCAGGGGTACAGTACCACTGAGGCAGTCCCAGCCCTGTTTATTTTTTATTTTATTTTGAGACAGGGTCTCACTAAATTGCCAGGGCTGGCCATGAATTTGTAATTCTCCTGT